ACGTCACTGAATTTTTTTCTCTAGGCATTCTAAAATCCAAAGTCTATGTTGACAAATCTCGAACGGTTGCCGCCTTAAAGGCCAATATTAAGCACTTATTGCTGAAATTGAGCCATTTTTATGCGATAACGAACACTAAATGATTCTAACGACAATCTAAAATTGTCGGAGAAATGTATTGATAATTCGGATATTGTTGAAAACATCTATGAGAAGTAAAGTCCGTCGATTTTAATCTAATACTCGAAAGAAATGTGAGCTGGTGGCACCCTACATTTGAACGCCAATGGTCACCTAACGTCACCCCTGGTTTTCGCTTCACCCCCTCGCTCCTCATTCGAAAAGTCGACGAACAATACTAAAAGAAGGAAGATTCAGGGACTTGACCAAATCTGCAATACTTTCTGCAAGAAATGTTGATGTCGAAGAAATAAACGAATAAGTTGTCGAACTGTTGGACGTCAAGACCGAAAAACTCTACACCAGTATAGATAGTGTCAAGAACTGTGATAATAGTGATGTAAATGATGCTATTCTTCCAAAATATTTAAATTGGCTTAATCCGCCGAATTCCCGCTCCATGAATTACGATTGAAAACGAATTCTATTGTATGCTTATTAGAAATCTAAGCATCAGTGCAGGCCTTTGCAATGGTACAAGGCCTTTAGTTCTGGAACTTGGGGATAATCTGTTACGCTGTGAGATATTGACTGTAGATAAACAGGGAGAAATAGTGTTCATAAATCGAATAACACTCTACTGCGAAAACGTCTACCCCTTTACGTTCAAACAAAGACAATTTTAAAATAAAATTAGCCTTTGCAATGAATGACGATTAACAAATTTCAAGGACAAACATTTGATAGGATAGTAATTGATCTCCAGAAAGGATGTATTAGTCACGGACAACTGTGGCGCTTTTCAGAGTTCGTTCGTGGGACTCATTGAAAGTTTATTCAGGGAAACAAAGAGGCAATAGTGTTGTCAAAAACCATGTTTTTAAAGAATTGTTTTTTTGATAATTTAATTTTGAAATTTCGCAGTCATAGGTGATTTCAGAAGATCTTTACAACTTATTTACAAGATATTTGAAGATCACAAGACAAAAACCTGAACACGATAAACATAAATAATTGAAAATAACGAAGAACGACATGAAGACTTAGCACTCTTTAAACTTTGGATTCTTACGAGTTCCATAAAATAGAATAAGTTGCACTGGACATATGCACACCGTATATTCAAAAAATAAGATCGATTTAAAGTCATTACGATATACCGCAAAAGTAATAATTCGCCAACTACTTTGATCACATTTAAAATTTATGTCTACCACGTAGGTACAAACAAAAAATGTAAGTTGAATAATTGAGCAATTGCATTTAAAATCTTTTAAAAAAATTTTTTTTCGATTGTTTGCAGTAAAATGTTGATCGAGTAGACTTCAATAACTGGCCTAATAAAAAAAAAGGAACTTCATGAAAGTGTAAAAAAAAAAAAAGACTCGATATCTCGTATTATACCACAGCACATAAATAGTTACTAACTCGGTTTATAATAACACCTTGATTATGGTTATGATTATTCTGTTTTAAATAAACCACTTCGAAAAATGTATACCTACACCTACGAGTTCCATAAAACAAAATGAGATAAGTAGACATACGCACACCGTACATTCAAGAAATGTGATCGATTTAAATTCATTATGATATACCATACAAAAATAATTAGTCACCAACTCCATCCATCGCATTTGAAATTTCTTCACTAGAATAACATCTATACAACTTATCTCACTGTTACATTTAATGTATAATGTACATTTAAATCAAAAATTATGCTGTTTTTTGTACAACACCTAATAAATATTTTCCATTTTATAATTATTTTGATGGACTTGTTTTAAAAAAAAAGCGCGCGACGCGCGCTCATGACCTAGTTAGAAAAAACTCACGAAACGAACGAAAAAATCACAAAAAAAATCACAAAATATTCGCTAGAAAATAAAGATAAATTTGTTTTGATCACCACAAATGTCAACAACGCACTAAAGAAGATCGCAAGACTCGACTGGAGTAGAGTCGAGGGGTGCGTTCTCAGGTAGCCGTTTCGTTGCTTATCCTTGTCTTGTATAAGAAGTTGGAAAAGGACACTCAGTTATTGGTGGTAAGTAGAAGATTTGAGGACGTTTAGTGTGATCGCGACCAAATGTTTTTCAACAATAATTTACTACGCCGAACAATGTGGTGCTTATAATGTGCATCAATGTTGGAGCAAAACAAACAGGCACCTTGTCCTGTCTCTACAGAATGTAGATATATAGTCTAAGGGTCTAAGCATGACTGACTTTCTAGTGTAATACGAGTAGGGTTTAAAATATAGGGCAAATAACCATGTTTGGCTAGTACTGATAAATATCTATTGACACTAACATTACTGTCATTTAAAAGATTTATGTTTATGTCTCCTATAAATATTAGGCAATTCAATCCATCTGTCAAAAAGGAAAATTCAATGTGGCGTGGTGGCCAAACAAGTTTGTTTTGAATATGTTTTCATGCATTTTTTAAATTATTTTGCATACAGTTTTGCTTACAACTTTGATTTTCATTATTTAATAAAATATTTGTTGACTTGGTACCTAAACTATTAATTCGGGCAGGAACTAGATATTTTTGTGTGTTTTTTGGCCCATGTGTGGCCGCCACGCCATCTTGAATGTCACGTGGTTTGAATTGCCTAATTGCGACCTCATTTGGCTGCTGTGAATTTTCCAGGTATATATCAATTTCGTCAATGAATGAGATTAAGTTACTTGGATTGGGTCTATACAAAGCAATAATTCCAAAATACATACCATATATCTCTATACATGTAATACATAAGGTCACACCACATATATCAAGTTTTTGATTCAATACATTAAAAGTTAAACTGTTTTTAATAAGAATTAATATTCCATCATTTCTATTGAAACTTCCGCCGCTATGAACGGTCACGAAACCAGGAATATTGAGGTTCTCAGAAGCCACTCCCTGGAAGCACTCACCCAACACAAAGATGTCACAGTTCATCAGCTTGTACGCCTCAACCAGAGTAATGAAGTTATCGACATTTTAATTTGCACTCCGTATATTAAAATGCATAATATTTAAACATTTATCCGAAGATGCTAGAAGAGTTTCACATTTTCCAGGATGGATATAGTCACCACGATGATCTTGATCTAATTGTTCTAGGTTGTCTAATATAATATCTTGATCGTTTAAAACCATTATGAAGAATAATCTATTTTATTCTTTAATAAATCAATATGAAATTGTAACGTGGGACACTGGGTGTTATTTGCTTCGTGATTGACATCGTGGTTTGTTTTATTTATTTATTTATTTATTTACGGGCAAGACCCATTAAAAGTTTCAAAAGAAAAAAAAACAACAAGAAACATTAAGTACCTTACAACTAAATAAACATAGGCCAGTAATACTTGGCGTAGTAACAGGATAAAAATACATATAAATTATTAACAGTAAAACATTAAATCAGTTATAGGTATAAGAAAATAGAGGACAAACATAAATAATGACTGATCAAGATGACTAGAAATTCTTAGCTATCGAACTTGGTATCACAAACAAACGAGGAGAATTACATTAGAGAGTTAAGCTCTCTTTTAAAGCTATTTATGGGTCCAAAAAAATCCAGGCTACCATGGGTGTTACATAATCGAGAAGTTCTGGAGATGAATGTATTGAAACCATAGTTTGTACGGTGATTTCTTTCTGAGAAGGTTATGGCAGAGCGGGTGTCCCTTGCTGGGACGTGAAGCCCTATTCTGGACAGTAGATATGCGGAATCACTAATGGAGTTCAGTACCTTGTAAAAAGTATATAAATCTCTTTGATTGCGTCTAGCTGCCAAGGGTTGTAGATTGAAGCGTCTGTATAGGTCGTCATAGTCATATACATAGTTCTCAGGCGAAGGAATACCTGCCTTGAAGGCTAAATAACGTACGAATTTGCGCTGCACTAGCTCTAGGGCTCTGATATGATTAGAATACATTGGTGACCAGACAGAGGAGCAGTACTCCATCAGGGGCCTCACCATTGAGCAATAAAGGTATCTGACAGAATCTATGCTTGTAAAATCTCTCGAACACCTCTTAATGAAGCCTACAAGTTTTAACGACCTTGTTGTGATGTCTGAAATATGGGTGATAAAATTGAGACTGCTGTCAAAAATGACGTCAAGATCTCGTTGTTGTGAGACAGTTTCAAGCGGAATGTTGTTTATATGGTACGCGAATTGTGGAGGGCTACGACCCTTGGAGAAAACAATGGCTTTGCATTTGGAAGCATTGAGCTCCATGCCGCTCCAAGCGCACCACTCAGAGAGTCTGTCGAGGTCAGATTGTAGTCTGGCACAGTCTTCAATAGAAGAGACCCGGGTGAACACCTTTAAATCATCCGCAAAGCACAGGAACTCACTGTTAATAAAACAAGACTTTATATCGTTAATAAAAACGTTGAACAGCAGAGGTCCCAAGTGAGAACCCTGTGGAACGCCCGATGGGATGTCAATTTCGTGTGAGAAGAAGTTGTTAACTTTGATTATTTGAGTTCTCTCCCCAAGATAGTCGCTAATCCACTTCAACAAAATACCGGAGATTCCAGCACTTTCAAGCTTAGCAAGCAGAACGGCATGGTTGACACGGTCAAAGGCCTTTGCAAAATCGGTATATATGGAGTGAACTGATTCGCCATCCTCAAGAATTCTTGAAACTTTGTCCTGGTAGGACAGGAGATTGGTTTCAGTTGAGCATTTTGGACGGAAACCGGTCTGCTGCTCAATTAGACAGGGATTTGTATTTATTATTAGAATGGCAGCAGTTTACACACTTTTGGTTTTGTTTTGGACAGTCTCTATATTCATGTTCTTCACTACAAAGCGGACAGGCAAGTTTATTTGTACAGTCTTGCTTCATATGATAGAAACCTTAGCAGTGAAAGCAGCGTGGGACCGATAGATCCTCATAGACTGGATAGCGCTCCCAAGAAATATAAATTTTTCCCAAATGTAACAGATGCTTGAACGATAAACCTGAGCATTCTCCAAATATGGGTTTGTTACCATTTTTTCCATTTTTGATATATGTCACATTGAAGTCTTGCAGATTTTCATTTTGTTGTAATATGGAGTTGGTTATTTCTTCTTTTGTCATATCCTTATTAAAGTTTGTAATTTTTACTCTTGGCTTTTTCATCCTTGTTGTTTCTATTAAGTAAGTGTCTTTCAGTTTTTCCTCTGCTGCCGCTTTGAGAACATCCACTTCGTGTTTATTGGCACATTTGATCGAAATGGCACCAGATTTAGTTGGTTTCAGTTTTTTTATCCCAATTTTTAATTCAGTGGGGTTGATGTTCACTGTGATAGCATTTTTAGTTTGCTGAACATCTTGCGGGATCCTTGGTTTAATGATTACATCGGGGATATTCTGAGGTATAGTCTTGTTAATAGACTGCCGGTTTTTCTGGAGGACATCAGCGAATGTCGGTCCAGAAATATTTCCCATATTATGCTCAAGAGCATCTATTTTTTCTTTGAGCATTTTTATGATTTCATTCTTGTCCTGAATTATAATTTCTTTATCTGTTATTATGTTTTTAAGACTTTCCACATAATCATAATTTCTACATTTTCTGCAGTGAAACTTGACAACTCGCTTTTGTAACGGCAAACATCTGAGTTCAGAGGTTGACAAATCTGAGCATTCTGAACATATTGAATTTCTGCAACTATCGCATGGAAAATATCCAGTCTTTAATTCCTTTGTTGGTTGTTTTATAAGTCCACACAAGAAACATTCCATATTCAAAACGTTTCAAGTTTTCAAATTACCCAGGTAAGGTATGGACTTTAAATTTATTGATGTTTATTTATATAGATAAGAATTTATTTAAATAAATGAACCTTTTTTTTTTGTGTGCAGCATACACAAAAAAAATAGGATTAGGGAATTTCGCTTCTTGAGCAAAAACTACTTAAAAAATCATAATTCCCGTCACATCAAGACGCAACAATGCACCCAACCAATCACTGTACCAAAAATCAGTTTTTTTGAAGCACTACTTTCTATGTAATTTAACCTTTTTATGGAGAACGCACAATCGCACACTTTACTGTTTGATACTCAATACAATATTGTGGAGCTACAAAATCCCAAACATGCAATGTGCCAAAAACATATATACTGTGTAGGGCCAAAGGTGTTCAACTCACTTCCCCAGGAATTGAGAAATAAGGCATATAAATCTGTTAAAAAGTTAATTAATAAGTGGATTGTAGAGAGTAACTTTACGGTTGAATATATTACCTAAAACTGATACATAATCTAAAGATAACTATGTATATCTACCATTACATTAACAACACACAGCTATTAAAAGTTGATGGCAAATGGCAAAACTTATTAAAGTCATACAGTGCACACACAGCATTATAAATACAATAGTGCGCTGAAATTTCTTGTTAGCAATATGGAGAGGTAAAGAATAGGCATAGTAGTTAGCTAATTATATGTGTATATTAAATATTATATATTTATATAGTGAATATGTTTATTGTAGACTTTTTCTTTTGTTGCTAATAAATAAATAAATAAATAAATAAAGTGTGTAGAGATGTAAGTTTTCATGAAATTTTCAAATTTGAAACTTTTCGTGAAACTTTTCATGAAAAGTTGAAACTTTTCAATTTTTTTTTGAAAAGTTAAGTACAGGAAGAATAGGGCCTCTAAAATTATTTTTTCGAAATGATAGGTATTCAATAAATTGAATTGATGAATAATATAATTTTTATCAATTATTCCTTTCCAATAAATCACAATATTGCGGTTGAGGATTGAGGAAATAAAAAAAATTGCGTAGTAGTGAAAAAAATCTGTTTTTCTATGACCATCAAAAAATAAACAACTTTTGTCATATTTTACCTTAGCCGAAAACGTCATTTTCGTCACTAGTGATGAAATATACCATAACGTTAACTTTTGTCACTAGTGAAGCAAGTGAATGATTAAAATTTTACGTGTTAAATACATTTTTTCAAATCCAATTATATTTCAATTCTGTGGAGCACAATGAAAAAACATAGTTCCTAACAAAATTATGTAAATTTTTGTCTCTAAATAGTTGTGTATGTGCTAGCTCACTATTAGTGTACTTATCTTATGACAAAAACCAAATATTTTTTTTTCTCGGAAACTGTTAGGGATAAACCTATCGACCTTTATATCATTGAAATCAGAAAAAGCAAAGCTTTCTAACTAGCTATGAATATATAGGGTATTCTATTGAAAAAAACTAGACTTTGGTCAATATCTCGGAGTTGGGACCAACTACAAAAAAAACTGAGAACGTCACTGAATTCTGCTCGAAAAAGTGCTTCTAGAAAGTTTGTACGGAAATCAATTATTTTCATAAACAAAAAAGTTATGATGCTTTCACATTATTGCTCAAAATCGAGAATCGCCTTCTAGCAGCTAAACGGTTGAAGATATCAAAATGCGTTTTGCACCAATCAAAATTTCATGAAATTTGAGCCTCAGAATGGGGGGTTCATTTTTTTGTATCTCGCTCAGAAATTGGTGTTTCTTATTAAAAGTGTCCAAATTGGCCCACCCTGTACAGTTACGAGTTACGCAGTTATCGAGCAAATGGCTAGGCACTAGTCCATGAACCATTTTATAAATAAATACCAGTAGATTTCGATTATAACTTATCGACTGTCGAACACTTAAGATACCAACAGTATCTAACATTGTTTTTATATTTGCATGTAAATTTGCATCCAAAATAATAGGAAGAGCTTGATTTTGTCTTTTTTGCGTTGTATTGTTTAGAAGAAACAAGTAACTGTAGGGCAGTAACTTAAATACGGCATAATTAAAGACTTGTACACTTAAGAATTTTGACCATTCACTTAATGTTTTACTCATTCTGCCCAAGGCGTTTACCCTACCAGCAATTTTGCTTGTTATATAGGATGCATGTTTTGAAAATGTTAAATGTTCATCTATAATAACACCAAGATATTTAAATTCCTTTACTTGTTCAATTTTAGTTCCATTTACCATCAATCCTGGGTGTTGTGTCACATCTATTGAGTTCATTCTAGTCCTAACCAACATAAATCTGGTTTTTTCAATGTTAAGGCTAAGATTGTTTCTATTTAACCATGTAGGTATATTTTTTTTATATCTTTGTTTAAGCTGTTCACCACTATGTCCAAATTGTTACCCGCAAAATACAGGGTGAGTTACTAAGAGCGCGGTGGTCCATATCTCCTATACTAACAAAATTTGTAGATAAACATGAGTACTATATTCTCAAATTATCATCCAGTATACAGGAAGGCCCAATAAGTAGTGGTGACACAAGATTATGTTTTTTTGAATGACTAGCCCTGTATATTATGATATTTCTGGATTTTGCGGAAAATTCTAGACATATTTCATGTACAATGTCATAAACCTATCTTTAACTGTTTCGGAAATATTGACAGATTAAAATTGACTTTTTTGCATCTTTGACAGACTGTAAAACCTAAACAGTTAATTTTAGAGGAAAACCGATTTTACATTCCTATCTTAGATTTTCATAAGCTATCATTTGACACCAACTTTGAATTTAACCGGTGATTATAAATTTAAGCGGAATTTCTAATCATGGATTAAATTCAAAGTTAATGTCAAATGATAGCTTATGAAAATCTAAGATAGGAATGTGAAATCGGTTTTCCTCTAAAATTAACCGTTTAGATTTTACAGTCTGTCAAAGATGCAAAAAAGTCAATTTTAAACTGTCAATAGTTCCGAAACAGTTGAAGATAAGTATATGACATTGTTCATGAAATATGTCTAGAATTTTTCGTAGAATCGAGAAATGTCATAATAAACAGGGCTAGTCATTTAGAAAAACATAAACTTGTGTCACCACTACTTATTGGGCCACCCTGTATACTGGAAAATAATTTAGGAATGCAGTACTCATGTTTATCTACAAGTCTTGTATTTACTTTTTTCTTCGATCTCTGTTAGTATAGGAGATATGGACTACCGCGCTCTTAGTAACTCACCCTGTATATCAAAGTGTCATCTGCAAATAGTTGAATATAACAGTCCTTCATACAATTCACAATATCATTTAAATATGTATATCACAAACAGGTTTGGGCCCATCACTGTTTCCTGAGACACACCGCAGAAGGAATCTCTTTAGGTATCTCTTAAAGAAGACTCACTCTCGCCAAATCTTGTTTTTTGACTTCTTCCAAACAAATAACTTTCTATCCATTGAAGTGCTTTATCTTGAATGCCATAATTTTCCAGTTTCATTATTAAGACTTATCTCAAATGCTCTCTGAAAGTTGAGAAAATAATGCCCCTATTACCAAATTTTCCTTCAATGAATCCTTCCATTTAGCTAGCACTGTCACGTGAGTTATTAGTCTAAAGCCTGCCTGAAAACATGTCAGAATTTTGTTATTTTCTACATAATTTGCAAGTTGTCTATTGATAACAGGTTCCAGAAGTTTTTTTTATAGGTGGGAACCATGTTTATTGGGCGATAGTCTTGGCATAATTTGGAATTCACTTCTTTTCTATAGGTATGATAGTGGACGTTTTCCATCCATCAGGGAATTTTCCATTTTCTATACTGGCGTTTATAACTTGTAAAAAATAATGACCTATAGCTTCAAATGATTTTATAATCGGGATCTTGTTTTTTGGCATGTCATTTCCTTAAGGGTCTTCCACATTTCTTTTGAGTTGTTTTTTACTTCATCTATTCTCTCATAATAATATTTTTGTTTTTGATTCTTTATTAATGTAACTACATATTTGGTTTCTTTTTTGTCTAAGGTCTCTCCATTCTTCTTTTTTGTGTTATTATGGCTTTCCTATATTATCTATTTCTGTCTTTGATTTTGTTGTCAATGTCGGTTGTCCACCATTTTTTGTTTCCCTAGACTCAGGTATTGTTATCTCCGTTAATGGTGCGTGTGCATTTAATTACTACGTTTTCATGGAGTTTTGAAATAGTTTTGAATACGGTTTTGGTATTGAAAACGTCATGAAAACAGGTACTGAAATCGATTTCAATCCCAAGGTCGTTTCACCTTTTTTTGGGATCGTATCCAGATTTAATTCAGAAACATGCAATTCGATTTCAATTCTAATTTCACCTATGCATGAAAACGGGGAAATGGATTGAATTCAAAACGAATTGAAAACTCCATGAAAACGTAGTAATTGTTTCTTTTATACTCGCTTTTATATTCAATACCAATCTCTCTGAAGTTTTGTTAATATCTGTACAGGGTCTTTCCCCATATATTGACTCCCCCCATTACATGGGTTATGTGAAGAGATATCAAAAAATTGTAAATACAAAAGTTTTGGGGTAATAATACATTGAAATTCATCCAGCTCTGTTCCAACCGACATGAGAACTGTTCTAGAACAGTAATTTTCAGTCGCTCAATTCACTTGTCAATTAGGATAAACGTTCAACTTATTGAAATATTGGTGGGCAATTTGAAATTACCATTCTAGAAGTTTCCATGTCGGTTAGAACCTTAGAATATAACAGAGCTGGATTTATTTCAATGTATTATTTTGTTGAAGTTTAGACACCGATATTTCGAAAACGTCTCAATTTAAAGTAGTTAAACCAAATATATTTGAAATCAGAAAAATCGACTCTTTTCAACAATAAAGTTATATATAGGGTGTTCCATTAGAGAAAACTGACCACCTGTCAAAATTTGACATTTTTAAGAAAACGAAAAAGTTTTTGACATTGGATTCAA